GAATTACAAACACTGTACATTCTTCTTTAGTGTCACAGAGTTGCGCAGAAAGTACCGATATTTTATGAGAATCGAGCAAAACACACTGACAGTTCACATTTGTCCGGGAGTAGGAGCAAAGATGCACAAAAACATGTACTAGAATAAAATAATTCTATTAAACAGCATTAAAATGAAGCGAACTGAACATCGTACCCAACTGAGGAAGGTGTTGGGTGCGGAATTGCGGCGTGAAGTACAGCAGTGTACGTAGGTACCAATCATGCACTATCTACAGCAATCTCAGCCAAATCCACAAAATACTAGAAAAAATCACGGGAATTCAAAAAATGCTAACAACATTATAATGTGAATTATGCAGAAGACAAGCGGAATCGAGTCCTCAAAGGCGAAAAAATAAATGAGGTGGACGGTGCGAGGTGCCGGGAGCCAATGCCTGGATTTGCCGGCAACGGCTTTGAGCGAGGCACGACGGCCGGTACAACGCACCGAAGATATACTGACTAATAACAAAACCGCGATCGGTAGTTCATCGTGGCTCATCGAAAAGCACTTGGAGCCGAGTGAACAAAGGCATAACCAGTTACTGATCATCACATTCTAAACAACTATTGCACATCAAAGTAGCCTAGGATAGTAAAGCCGGGAGCAGGAGATACTTTCAAATAACGTGCCAGAGAATGAGAGCAACAACATCACCTCATGAGGAGACCAGAATGTGAAGGCTACGTTGTGAAAAAAAAACACGAAAGAAAATGAAACCAACAAAATTGATGTGGAGAATCAACGGCGAACAACAAAACATTCACATGAATTTATGGCTTATAGGCAAGTGACACAGAACTCAGTCGACGTCGGATTCGGCGTCGGAGAAACCGAATACTTCGCTGCTGATATCACACAACTCTTGCGATGGCGCGCTACCAGCAGAATCGAGCTCAGGCTCCGACTGGAATCCCTCAACGCCCACGGCCCGGCCGCGGAAGGCACGATCTCGGTTCTGGAACGTGATTTTTCCAATTGTAATCCAAGAAAGGTGTTGGTATTCTCTTCGTCAGAAAAGCTTACCAAAAAAGGCTTTGAAAAGTTTTGATAGACATTGTTTATCCGGTCCTGCCAGTATGAAAATTCGTCATTCTTTCCTGATGGATCCATGTCGATCCATGCGGGCAAATCTCTTTCAAGTCTTCTTTTTGAACGCGAAAACGCGGTATACAAGTCTAAAACAGTGCTTTAAGTGAGTGTGCAACGGATCATCTATAATGAGTGAAGAGTAACATGAAGTTTTGGATATGATATTTAAGAGTTATAACGAACTATTAGGATGTACACGCTCATTTCCACTCCTGCGATGCCTTCCAGGAACGAGATCTTCGTAGTTGCGAATAGGTTCATCTTCCATGACTGAAGTAGCAAAAGATAAGTGCGATGCGCATTTCATTTGCGTTCGAAGGGCACTACTAGCTACTTACTTGGTGAGGCTAACTTCTCGTAGGACATTAAACTATAACGACGATCAGATTTGGCGATTTCATTCGCTAGCAAGTGCATTTCCTCATCGAAAAAGAATGTTGTAACTGGAAATTGTGATACACTGGTTGTATGAGTTAGGATAATGAAAGTGAAAACTAACATTCCCTATCGCAGCAGTTTTCCTTTTCCGGCTCATCAAACTCTTCTTTGTAACCCTTGTCAGAGGAGCTCGATGTCGACGATGAGATAACTCTGAAGACAAGGGTACTCAAAACTAGTATACATTTTAATCGAAAAAAATGAAGAAAAGCTTTCAGTCGAAAGTAGAATTCTTCTGTTGATGAATACAATATGGGAGAAGCCCAGTAGTTTGAGAGTGTCTATCGAGATGAGACTATTCTATTTTGCTGTCTTTTCAATA